TTAACCTACATGCTTCACTCACAAAACTTCAACATACAAGTTTCAACAAAAGGAAAAATTTAAAGAACTTAGTGAAGAAGGCCTTGGTGTATTTAACACAATACGTTGAAATGAAGCAAAACTTGTTTATTGATATCTCCGATAAGTTACAACTATGTACATATACATGAATCAAAATAAACAAACAAAATGGAGCATTCACAAAGGTTGCTCAGGAGAAGTCTCAGTAGTCGGCAGAGCCCCAGAAAGATGAGGCACCAAAGTGTGATTATTCGGAGCCTCAGTATTAGGCAGAACCCCAAAAGAAGGAGGCATCGAAGGTTGATCATTTGGAGCTTCATTACGCGGTACAACCCCAGAAGACGAATGCAATAAATGCCTTTGGAACAAACCCACAAACCTTTGATGATCAAGTAAAATCTGACCATCAGATTCCTGCATCTAGTTGAGCTTCCTCTTCATGTTTGTAGCATAGTCATGTGCGAGCTTGTGCAATCGTTTATTCTCATGCTTGAGCCCTCTGATCTCATGTTTGAGACTTATCACTTCAGCCACCAATGATTCAACTTGACGGGTTCGAGCAAATAGGCGTTGGGCCATATTAGACACAGAACCTGCACACTGAACACTGAGAGCCAGAGAATCCTTAACAGCCAACTCATCAGATTGTTTGGAAAATAGTCTGTTATCTTTGGGAGTGAGAAGGTTCCTGGCCACCATCGCAGCGGTTATATCATTCTTCATCACAGAGTCCCCAACGGTAAAATGACCAGTAGGGGATAAGAATGATGGGTGCCATATGTTGTCTTGAGAAGGCATGGCTGCCTCTTCACCAAAGTTCAAGTCAAAACGACGGTCAGATGGGCCAGACATTCTCAGAAATGATGAAGGAGAAATGAGGTGCAATAAATCTCTGAAGTAAGGGGAAAATTCCTACAAGTAATAACTCTCTGAATGTATTTCTTGCACACAATTAGTGCTCTTATAAAAGAAAGGGCAACATGGCCATTGGTTCAAAAATCGAAAAGGCACCACTCTTCGGATTTCGAAGAGGCACCACTTTCCACACGCACATCAGCTCCTCGGGTACCACAGATAACTTTGCCAAAGATATCTGACAAAGTTTAGACACATAAATTTTGAAAGTCCAGCTACCCTACTATTACCCACAAGGGTAAAGGAACAGCACCACTGTTTGATAACTAGAAAGTCCCAATGTGTGTCAACCTCCGTGCTTCGTGGCAAGGCAGACTGGCAAAAATGCCCAACCTTTACTCACATTCAAGAAAACACTCCCAACAAGATTGCTTGCTCAAAAATCGAAGAGGCACCACTATCTGAATCCCGAGAGACAGACTCCCAACAGGATTACATGCTCAAAAATTGAAGAAGCACGGCCCTCCGAATCTCGAGAGCCAGACTTCCAATAGGATTACTTTATCAAAAATCGAAGAGACACTGCTCTCCGAATCTCAAGAGTCAGACTCCAAACAGGATTGCTTTCTCAAAAATTGAAAAGGCAGTGTTATCTGAATCTCGAGAGCCAGATCCTCGACATGATTGCTTGCTCGAAAACCGAAGAGGCACCGCTCTCCGAACTTCGAGAGCCAGATTTCCTTGGATAAAGCTTGTCTGTAATCTTCACACGCAACATCAGCTTTCCAGATACCACAGACCACTTTTTCAAAGTGCTCTAACAAAGTTAAAACACGTGAAGTTTGCAACTCCCACTACATTGATATGACCAAGAAGGGTAAAGGAATAACACTACTACTTGTTGTTAGGGAGACTCATATATATGTCGACCTCCATCCTCCACAGCCAGGCAGACCTGCAAATAAAAAAAATGCTCAACTTTTCTTCACATTCGAGAAGGCACTCTCAGCAGAGTCTCTCGAAGTACTCAGCTTCTTTTCCCCCCGATAATACCTCTGCAAACAAGCCAGACTAGAGCAAGAGTATCTCATATCATCAGGGTTAAAAGCAAGAGTATCACATCATGCTTTTTCCCTGTCTTTCCTTTGCCCTTGTTCTTACCTGCAAGATAAGAAGAAATAAAGCAATCAGTCAGCACTTGAAATCAAGCTTCCAGTCAGGAACTGACGGCCTGGAACCCCTTACCTGATTACTTACCTGGCATTGCTCTCAAGTACTCATCTTCAACATCTTATGCTTCCAGAGAAGATACCACACATGCTTGAGGAACAAATAGGGCAAGTGAGAAGGATACAAGGAAGCATGTGGAGGCAAGCGTAACAAAACATGTGCCGATACATCCACTACTTTGTCAACAGCAAAAGTATCACATATCATCAGGGTCGAACGTACTCTAGATTTGATGGAGTTGTTTTGACCTTCAAATTCTTGAGTCGGCCTTATACTCTAGAGAAAACCAGAAAACCCTTCAGCCCAGTTCAAGAATAAGCATGTGGAAAGTTACTTCTTCAAAAGCAAAAGTATCTTATATCATTTCTTCTCCATTTGCTTCTTCTTATCCTTGTTGCTGTTTACGACACAAGGAGAAGGAGAACAATCAACCTAAAGCCGAAGTCGAACCTCCAATCCAGGTTGCTTGCTTGGAAGTCTGATTGCTTACCTTGTTTGTTACCTCCTTCGGCAAATCTCCTAGCTCGGTGATTTGGGGGACTCCTACTATAGGGTTTGTATCGCACTTGACCAAGCCCGAAACTACAAGTAAGCTTCAAGTGAAATTGATACATTACCTTGTACATCTTCATCGGTTAAAGATACCACCCCTGGAAGAAGGAAAAGTACTTCCAAAGAAGATGCCACATCTACATATGAGAAAGATAAGGCAAGTGAAAATGATACCACACTTCGGTACTTAGAAGTTTCGTGATTACTCAATGGCTTGGATTTTGCAAGTCCCCAACCGATGAGCTTTCCTCACTCGGGAACTTAGGGGAGCACTGTTTGTACCATACTTGACCAATCCCAAAACTACTGAGCACTGGTCAACGTTATACCATCGATGACCCAGAAGAGTTTCCCTCCAACCAGGAGGCCAATCACAGCGCGACACGTGTCGACATCAGAAGCCAATCATAGCGCGACATATGTCAACATCAGAAGCCAATCACAACACGACACATGTCAATGTCAGAATGAAACTAGAAACTCTCTTCTATAAATAGAGATCATTCTCTCATAATATTTCCTAATGTCATTTGTACTAAATCATTCACTAGACTCACTAAAGGAGAGCTTGAACCTATGTACTTGTGTAAACCCTTCACAATTAATGAGAACTCCTCTACTCCGTGGACGAAGCCAATCTGGGTGAACCACGTATATCTTGTGTTTGCTTCCCTGTCTCTATCCATTTACATATTTATCCACACTAGTGACCGGAGTAATCTAGCAAATGTCACAATCTTAACACTTTCTGTTGTACCAAAGTCCTCACTGATTTTGTGCATCAACAGAATTAGTGAGTCATTTTCTGAAATAATACAACTTGTTTGTTTGTTTGTTTTTGTTCAAGAAGTAACACAATTGGGGGCACCAGAGAAATCTAACTTTGGATCTTGTCTAAAATCCAGGTACATTGTATTTGTATAAAATAATATTAAAAACAAACGACCGTGTACTCTCAAAGTTAGAATAATATCGCAATAATGTGAAACAAAGTTGAGATTTCATTATAAAACTAATTGATAATATAGGAGAGTAACCGGCTTACTTATAAACTCATGCAAGGTTTATTCTCCCATCAATGTGGAATAAATTCTCAATATGCTTCTCATGAGTGACGAATTTTCAGGTCAAACGCGTGGACAACACTGGAGTACGTATAGCCATTGGCTTCACACGTTGGACAACGAACACTGATACCATGAAAAACGTTTGCTAATTGGATTTATAGTAGAACCTCAATTTATTTATAAGCTATTGCAAACCCATTCTCACATTAATTTGAAATACATTCTCAACACAATGTTCTCAAATAGCACTATAGTATTGTAGCATAGTTTTTGTGCAAGTTATGCGAAAATCATCTTGATATGTTATTGACAACCTAATATTGTCTAGTTGTGTGAAGTGATATTGCATAGGTGTGTTGTGGACCACATGGTATGTCGGTTAATACTTGGATTTCATCTTTAATGACTCAAAAAATATGGTCTAAAAAGAAGGTTTCCAACCATCAACTTACACATCATATGATTTATAAAATATGATTCAAAAGATGGTATCACACTTTTAAGTAGGACAAAAACATCTCCAATATTAGACCCTAGGTTCATCTTTTCGATTGAATAAATTGACATCAACTTCGCTTCCTATTAAGTCTTTTCCTTCCCGTGAACACCTCAAGATCTACTCTCTTTTTTTAATGAAATGCTTTTTTTTCCTCAATTTACCGTTAGGCTCGCCATTGGCCTCAACCCTTGCTCGGACGTTGTCCTCGTGGTCAATGAAATCGAAGGCCTTCAGATTAAAACAAGGATGAGATTTGGGTTCCTCTAAAACCCCTGAACAATGCTTTTATTGTCAAATAATATCATATGTTACGTTATTAGGCTGTTAATTTGAATGCATAATTTAGATTGACATTAGCTAGATGTCTCTCACATTTGACAGATTGTGACAGATTGAATTTACCGCAGCATCGAAGATCATGCAACGGTTAATCGGGAGAACGAGAGGCTGTCCATAGCCACATTTTACAGCCCGAAACTGGACAGAGATACGGGACCTGCACCGAGCCTCATTACCCAGAGAGACCCACATTGTTCAAGAGAATAGGTGTTGCAGATTTCTTCAGGGGATCTTTTTCACTCCCACTAGATCATGCATAGATGTCATCAGGATTCATAACCAAGAAGAAGGCAGGGGCAGCCAGGTCTAAGGGGAGTCTAATCGTCACTACTTGCCATAACAAAAACCAAGAAACTATGTAAACTTCTAAAGAGAGCCTTGTCATATCATGCAGGGAGATCAAGTTAAAAATAGACTTCCGTGATATTTCCCTCCACTTGCAAATTGCGATTTAGATATCAAATTATTATGATAAGCCTATAGCCAGAAGTTGCAGCACCAAATCTATTATCCAAAATATGTCAATGTGATAGCACTTTACAACAATTTGTGAATATTAGATTTCTAACTATGCTACACGGACCAATCGGCTTCATTCCCTATGTCAAACCCTTATGTATTACAAATACATAAACCCAACAACAGTACCTTTAACGAGAAAATCTTTCATGTACAATGTTTGAGGGGATCATGTTCCTTCGAGCAGCCATTACTGTCCCTGAACCTAAATTGATCAAACAGAACAAGTGTTAGTAAACGAAAACTAGATACAAATTAGCAGTTATAAATAAGCATTGCTAATCTGAACAAAACCAATAATTACTCCATTTGAAGAACCTAAAAGTGAACTGTTTCGGTAATTTTCCAAATTCTCGTATCTGAATCACTGGATAAATTATGCTTCATCATAAGTTACTTGAAATTAGGAGGTTTAAGCAATGTGTTAAAAACAAGGAGGTTCTGAGAAAGCAATATGACCCTGAAAAACTTATGATTCTCTCTCTTCAAGCCTATTACCTAAAATTTTGTCGGAAATATCAAGTTCTTGGGCATGAAACCATTGTGAGAATGCAATGAACATCAAGCGCTAGGCTTGACCATTGAGTACAGTTCAACTAAATCTGACCCTAGTAGCTTTGGCCAAGGAATAAACTACAAAAGATAACCGAACTAGTTCAAAACATTAATCCCGACGTACTGAGCTTAAATAACCACTTGGAAATACAAAGCAAGACGGAAACTCCTTGACTTCAGCAAAGAAAATTCCTAAACTTAAATTTTACAGAAAGTTTCAACCTAAACTGGTATTAAAGGTGGAAATATTTTCTAAACTGTTACGTCATCATCTTTTCCTCTTTTCTTGTAAAACTTTCCCCTCGATCATGACATATGTTTGCTGCAACAAGGTCCATATGCATGTGCTCCATACCCATAAGTCACTGCCCACTCTAACAATAAGGTACAAATGCATATGCTTTTGTATGACTAAGGTATAAATGAATATGCTTTTATAGAGATATATGCCTAGAGCCTAGAGGTCTCAATTCTTAAAAGACTCAAAATGTACGTGAAAGCTCATTAGAGATTTTCATATTCTGAAATCGAATATTAAAATAAAACAAACCCGCATTGACATCTACTGGCTTTTGCACATGTTTTGCACATTCATTGTACAACAAATCACAATGCCTCTCCCCTCTCTCTCCTGGTCCTAAGGATATCCTCCCCATCTAAGCCGCATGTGAGAGTTATGATATCCGATCCTCTGAAGTAATTCATCTTAATAGTTAAATTTCCCACCTGCTGTTATAACTGTATCGAATTCTTCAGCATAAATCCGTAAAGGAAGTTGAAGTCGTGATTAGGCAAGGTATTTCTAGCATTCAATAGCACAAATACAAGAAACCTTGTAGAAAATGTATACATCACCATCGCGGTAATGTACTAGGAATACAAAACAAACTGGACAAGTTAAAAGAAACCCACATGAACATGATCTTTTTCTCTTAAATTCCTTAAAAGATCCAAAATTTGGATGAAAATCAGCATTGTCAAACAAACCTAACAGTGTAAGGGCTAACAAGGGGCTTGTAGCTCAAGCGATAAGGCGTTTACCCCTTCACCCGAGGTCCTAAGTTCAATTTCCCCTCCCTCAATATTGCTTGTATCAAACAAACAAATCGAAAAACTCTCACACACACACTCTCTCTCTCTCTGAATCAAAGAACCCCACAATGTATGCTGAAAGAAATCTGATCACTAAACTTACAAATCGACAAAATAATCACAACCCATTACTCACAATCACAAATAAAACGAACAAGCATTTGCTGTTTACCAAAACACCTTCAAAAGCCTAACACAAAACAGGGGTTATGAGTTTATCTGTAGCAAACTTACAGCTCAACAAATTAGTTAATTAATTAAATGAGGAAGATAAAGAAGGTACCTTTCTTGAATATGGCAGGTCTCAGGGGACTGCACTGAAAAATGGGGAAGGCCATGGCCACGGTGGGCTTGGAACTGAGAAGCAGAAGACATGTTTGTTAAACCCTAGACTCTCCTCTGTAGAAGAAGTAAAGGGAAAGGGGGAAATGTGGCTTCTTTGAAATAAAAAGGTGGCGTTTTGTGGGTTTTGAGAGAAAATAGGAGAAATTTTTAGTTGTGACAGGAACATGGATGGTACATTGTGTGTTTCTATGTAAGTGATGAAAAATTTTAATTTTTAAGTTATTAACCTTTTAACACATATATCCTACTATTTATATGAAAACACGTGATGTACCATCTCGTGTGACGGTCACATTAAAAAAATCTCAGAGAAAAGAGAGTGACTGGGAGCGGGCTTCCGTTGCACGATTCCATAGGTATATAAGATAAAAGAGTTTTGGGTTTTGCCGGTTTGGCTTTGCTTTCGCTATTGAGTAAGGCTTATTAATTGAATTGCCCTTATTTAGTCTTAATTTATCATTTTAAATTGATTTTGTCACGATATGTTAGCAGTAATATTGTTTAAATTCGTTTTTTATTTATTCAATATGTAGCAAACATAGTGTTGAGATTGTATTTGAGTTACGTCACACTAACCGTTGCTAACTGTAAATTTGTAGCTCTAGTTGCTATGCTATTTTTAATTCAGGGTTGATGTTTCGATTGAAGAATACACAATCATGTTGCTTTCTTCATCATCACACTAGGTGTTGCTCACTGGAAGAAGCATGTGACTCAAGTTGCTATAATATTTCTAAGGGATTCAGGCTTTAGTGTTTCGATTAAAGAAGAATCACTCGCGTTGCTTTCTTTATTATCAAAGGATGTAATTGTTTATGTCCTAACGAAATGTTTATTTTTTGTTTTTACACATGTTTTGACGTACGTTTTTGTGGAGACCATTCGATAATGTATTTTTATATCAACTCTGCCAATAATTACCAAACCGGAAGTCGTATGACAGTTGAAATAAATTAGAATATTTTTTAAGGACCATATTCGTTCATTTTATTCACTATAAATGAATGTCTTAATTATTTTAGATTTATCTAGTTTTATAAGGACAATCTGTGTTGTTAAGAATCCACATAATTAATAATGCAGATTTCTCATTATCCGGTAACATTTATCAAAGGCAGATACTTTTCTGTTGCTTTTCCATGCATGCACTCCGTCCCTTTCTTCCGGCCTTTTCTTTCTCACCACTCTCCGGCCTTTTCTTTCTCGCCACTCTCCGGTCTTTTCTTTCTCACCAAGTAGCCATACAGTGAGGATGCGATAACTCAACGTAGTAGCTGATTAGTAAGTAGGACTTGCGATAACTCAACGTAATAGCTGATTAGTAGGACTCTGATGATATATATGTTGCAGCCAAACGCCGAATACTTCTCTAACCAACCACTACTTGTCGAAATTCTACACAAACTCCTCTTCCATTTGCATCTCACACCATACCAAAAGAGTTGATATCTCACTTGTTTTCCTGCACCATTCAACTCATCAAACAACAACAAGGGAGATCGATCATCTGCTCTAGAGAGAGAGCCCTAGAGAGAGAGAGAGAGAGAGAGAGAGAGAGAGAGAGAAAGCCCTAGAAAGAGAGGAGAGTGAGAGTGAGAGAGAGCGTCTTCTTTGAATGCGAGCAACAGCCATGGAAGGAGGAAAAGGAGGAGGAGATGGAGAAGTTAATAATAATAAGGGTTCTTTAGAAAATGGCCCTTGAAACTCTTATTTTCCAAACAAAAACCCACCTAATATTAAATATCCAAATAAAACCCAAATTTCAAATAGAGTACCATGTAGACAAATATGTAACCAATTATTATCACATATTTACAACTTATGCCACAAAACCCTAATTATGTCAATAAATATTATTACTTACCCTAATTATAATTAGTAATTAACCCCATATGGAAAATTTCACCTTTCTTGTATGGTAAATATTAGGAATATATATATATATATATATATATATTAATTTAACCATGTTCATAAACAATTATGGGCACATTTTTCATATGAAAAAAAAAATCCTTGTACAATCAGTTATTTTGCATCAAATAATATTGTTGGATAAAAAACAATAAAGAACCAATTAATATTCTTTTATGTTTTAGGTAAATTATTTTACCTAGATTATTACATACGTTAGGCATTTTTTGTTTGTTATCATATATGCTTGTTAAAAATAATTTATCTATATTTGTATGTAAAATATAAGTAAATTAATTTTGAATCTGTTGACCCTAGAAATTACAAAGCCTACGTGGCGCGCAGGCCGAATATATTCTAAGCTAACTACGTCCTTCGATGATTGCGGGGCGTGCCAACTCGTCGGCCGAGCTCGGCCGAGGAGTAAATTTGATGATGTTGCGTTGAGCGCGCTGCTGACTTCTGTGTCTTGCGATTGCGGCCGAGGAAGGAACAATTCTCGGCCTCTTGGGTTCTAGAGCCTGAAGACAAGGCTGCTAATTTGCGAAGTTCAATCTCAAATTCGGCTGTCAATGTGCCGAATACAGTAACCTGGTAACACCCCACTTCGCCGAGAAGGCTGATGAGATGACCTCGACCAATGAGGATTCGGAAATCCTTCTCGACCGAGACTTGGATAGGTAACCAGTCGTCCTCGCCGTAGTGCTGTTGATGCCAACGGAAGATGCTGCGAGATCGGCTGATTCTACGGTGACAGAGCTATCTATGCCGACTTAAGATATCACCGGTTGCCTTCACAGTGCTGTTGATGCCAACGGAAGATGTGTCGGCGAAAAAAGAAAATAAAAAAATCTCAAGGTGTTGAGAAAGTTTGCGCAGGGCAGTTTTGTGTGTGTTGGAGGTCCCCTTGAATGATGCACAGCCTCCTCTATTTATAGCACTAGATACCTTTGAAGTCGAGTCAAAACCCTACTCGAACTAGGTCTTCTTCTCCGGATCAAACACCCACTCGACCAGTCCTATGTTTACTAGGATTGTGAGCCTAGTCCTCTATTGAGCCGGATTCACTTCCGGGTTATTACCCTTGCCGAGACTACTTATCGCGTTAGGACTCGACTAGTAAATGTAATATGACCTAGCCGACCTAGGTTTAGGAGCCCACGTACTAAATGATCCAAGGCTCCCCTGTCGCCAGGCCTCCCGGGCCGAGAGTGGTTCTATACTCGGCCCAACATGTTAATTTGAGCCCAAACACTCTTACTTGAAGATATAATTTTGCATCATATCCATCCCGTTTAAGAATATGTCAAGATAATTCAAATTAAAAGATAATCATGATAAAAACCATAATATTATCTTTTTTAACAAAAATATTTTCACTTTTCCATCCGACGGCTGAGAACTATGTTTACTCTACGGTCTCGATTACACGGGCCGATGATGTAAATTTGGGTCCAAACATTGCCCCCCAGTTTCCTTGAACTTCGGCTCGTAAGCCGAATGATTAAGGAAATTAAGTATCTCCAGCCTAATCAGATGTACTTTTGACCGTCATCCCTTGCTGCTGTTTACTCACGGCTCCTTTCGACCAAAGAACAACTCATGGCCGAAGATAAACAGTTATGAACCAGGGTCGAGAAGAATTGGAATTGGGGTCGAGGATAAATTTGGCCGAGGTCGAGAAGAGTCTTTTCTTGGCAGCTCGGCCTGCCTACATATATATGCATATCAAACCCATTGTCAGCAATCATGACTATATACATATATATATATATATATATATATATATATATAACCTCAAAACAGCAACCATGACTTATTCGGCCAAACTTTGACCCTAGCATCTTCCTGATTAAATGGTTTTGAAACTTGTCCCCACACTTTTAACCATAGGCATGGTACTATTGATAGCAGCGAAAATAACTCTTCTCGGGTCGGCTTGTTTGTCGAGCTCGGCTAAAAACAAAATGACCAAAATTTTGCCGAGCACACCACTTGTTGCCCCTCTTATTTTCTTAAGTATCGGTCAAGGGCCGAATGGTTAAGAAAATAATTTATTATATATAATTATATATTTTTAGCAAACGAAAAGAAAAGTGGCCGAAACGTAGTCAGGAGGAGGCCAACGATGCTTTATTCCAAGCCAAGATCTTTTTACATCAAAATTTTCACTTTGACATTTTCCAAAACCGAATAAAAGATCATCTCCCAATATTTCTGACTTGGTGAAATATTTTGCATTTTCGGCCGCCGAATGTGTGGAACAAGTATTATGCCCCCCAGGCATAATTTCGGCGTTTAATTCAAACAACTTAGCCGAATAGGATTTCTCCATATCGACTTTATCGCCAATAATCATATCAATTGGCGTAGATTCTTGGGCTAGGCCAATATCTCGGCCTCGTTCGTCATTGGAGCACTCCTCTGACGAAATCATTTTCTGAGTCGATTTGTGGCTCAGAAACTTTAACTTTTTCTTCTAGGCCTACCACACTTCCAGTCTCGACCGAAAAAATAGGTGGCCTAGGTTTTTCTTCGTGGCCGACCATATCTTCAGCCTCGACCGAAAAAATAGGTGGCCTTTGTTCTTCGGCCAAATTAACAATTTTTTTTAGGCCGATGTCTGATTACGGCCGGAGCGAAAAATTGCCCCCCGGCCTTTGAGCCTAACCATTTTTCAAATGGAAATTGATCTGTAATCAGAAACGTAAGGAAAATTTTCTTCATCTAGCCAGGCATTAAATCGAGCCCTGTCTTTCATTTACCCATTGCCTTTGCAGGGTAACAGGAGCTTTTATTCTCAACATGCAAGCGAATGACTTTTGCATCTCTCCATGGCCACGAAGAACTTTTCCACTTCCAAAGATCTTTTACATTCCTCATTGTGTTTTCTCAATTCCTCTAGGAGCTCGTACAATCGGCTACGTTGAGCCAGATTGGAATCTTGATATATCATATGAACTTCGTAGTATTAGCACTGGGTCCCACTGGGCGTGCCAAAATGTTGACCCTAGAAATTACAAAGCCTACGTGGCGCGCAGGCCGAATATATTCTAAGCTAACTACGTCCTTCGGTGATTGCGGGGGGCGTGCCAACTCGTCGGCCGAGCTCGGCCGAGGAGTAAATTTGATGATGTTGCGTTGAGCGCGCTGCTGACTTCTGTGTCTTGCGATTGCGGCCGAGGAAGGA